AGAAAGAAAGAAAGAAAGAAATTTCAGTTCTGCTTCTGAAAGTTTATTCCTGTACTGTCTTGCTTTGTGGAAACTGTTTAGCACAACTATCAAAAATTATTTCTAATTCTTGTAATTTCCTTGTTTCATAAAAATCTTGTGTGCTTTATATTTTTATGAGTGGATGCTAGATATTCAGTTGTATTTTTTAATATTTCCAAATAAATAGCGTTGCAGTATATAATGTTTTGTACTGGTTTTTTTAGCTGAATATGTTTCAAACAAAAACTACAGATAAAAATGTAGCCTGATAGACTGATAAAGTGTAGTTTAAGGAGCAAAATTTTAATAAAAGTTTATCTTTGCTGGGTCAGCATAAAAAAATAAGAGATAAACTTAAAGAGCTGCAAGGTCTGTTATTACCTTTTACAATAAAAAACAGCTGGTTAATAAACAACTTATAAATAGTGAGAAGAAAGGAACTGACTGGTAGCAACAAAAGACAGCTTCACAATTGTGGTTTGGAGGAAATGTGTTTTTTTTAAAACTGAAAGCTATTTCATGACAATCCAGTATCTTTGTCAATATTATTTTCTAAAGAACTTATTAACATGACATTCTCATAATGACCAAAATTTGACTTACACATCTGAAAGTTTATAAAAGAAATTAAATTAATAAAATTTTCAATGTGACAAAAAAACTTTTTGAAAGCAAAGGAATCCAGTTTCTATTGAGTGAGATACATTTTTAAACAAAAATGTTTTAAATTTAATTCGTTTCAAATTATATCATTACATACTCAGTAATCAAAATCAAATTCAGGTTCTACAAGCTTCTCACCATAAAGGACTTTATTCAGAGTGTAAGAATTGGATTTATACTTGACAAAACTTTTAAATATTATTAAAATATTTCTAGAATCCATGAAAACCCTGCTAATTATGAGATAGACTTGCAAAAACTACACATTAAGATAAACTTAAACTTAGTTTTATTTGAGACAGAAATACAACAAAGCTACTTAATAGTGCTACTCACTATCAAGCAGTTCTTAAAGGAAAAGTCCGGTCAGCAAGGAATGATCAATGGATCATTATTTTTACCAAAAATTAATAGGCTCGAGGGTGAATTAATGAATTTAGCATTAATCATTAAAAGAATGAAAATAATAATTTTTGTTGTGATCACTGCCATTTTTGCTAAAATATATTAACACCTCTCTCCTGACATCTTCTTGCAGTGACGTCACAGTGTGATAGGCCTAGCACCATTCTTCCCGCTTTACAAGCAAAATCAATGGGAACTACTAGACACCCCTGCAATCAACAACAATTATTTAAGATTTCAAGAGGACTTCACCATTGAAATTCGTGAGAGCTATAGTTAAATTGACTGCCCACCTGCATGGCAGTTTGATATGACGGGTAAAAGTGAAAAAAATTAGGCATTTCACCTTTTCGATCCATGATGCATCATGGATGGGGGTTGCATTGCCTACTTGAAGAGGGAGGATTTGCATTTAAACTTCTTGGCAGAAAAAAAATGCGTAATATCTCTAACATTTTGAAGAAGAATGTTTTCAAGACGACACGAATAATAGAGCGTTGTGACGAACACCAGATACAGCATTGGGACTTGCTCAACAGCCGTTTTTTAAGTGATTCCGTAAAAATTAAAAAAATATCCACTGGACTTGGTTTCCAAGATTTGAAAAAGTTTCGCCACCTCTCCAGGAAGCTTTCTCAATTCAAATGTCTGGATCCGCAGTGGTTTGAGTCTTATATAGACAAAGCCTTGTATCGCTTGGAAACATGCAAATGGTAACCGATGAATGGGTTGTTTGGTTCCATCTTTAGCCTGTAATATCTAAAACCTGTCTATGATTCTGAGGGTCGGTCGTTAAAGGGGGGGGGGGATTGCCATTAAGTGGGGATTGTAACTTCCTGGAGAGGTGGCGAAACGTCTTCAAATCTTGGAAACCAAGTCCAGTGGATATTTTTTTAATTTTCACGGAATGACTATGATCTGGATGACTGAGAACCTCCATCAGCATTTTTTAAGTGCCGCTTGATTATGAGAACACTGAATAATTCTTTACTATCTGGAAGACTGCAAAACTAATTTGCAGGCCTACAGTGTTTCTAAAGCCACAGAGCTAGAGTTCTGATAAAAAAATAATAAATAAATTTCATATTCATCCTATTCTAGATCTTTTTTTATTGGCACCTCTAGATTCAATGTTAAATCCAGAGAAGTTTTCATGTTCTCCTTCCCATGTACAAAGCAGTTAATTATCAAGCTCTATCTTATATCAAAGATGTAATTTTTCTGTAATTTTCCAAAGAGAGCACTCTGCTTCCTGGCTGTGGGTTAGTGGCTGGTTCCTAGAGAGCCTTTAAACAGAATGGAGGCAGATCTTTTAGTTTTCAAACTCCTCTGCCGTGGAACCAGCTATCAAATTTGCATAGAGAGCCAGACATCCTGCCTACTTTTAAGACTAGAATTAAACCTTTATTTCTAAGATGAGTGGCATAGACTATCTTGAGCCTCTATAGTTATGTTGCTATAGTCTTAGGTGGCTGGAAGTCCACTTTTCCTCAGTCAGCAATATTCTCCTACCAAATAAGACTAGCATGTATATCCTTGCTGATGTTTAAGCCTCATCTCCAGCCTTGTAATTTTTGTTTTTATGTTACACTCTTGTTTATATGGACTGTTGCATGAGTTGTTTGATGGTGGCTTTGTTTTGTATCTGAAAAACTGTGGTTGTGATTCATTGATTTAGGTGGCGTGTCATTCATAAAACTAGTGTCATGGGATCAATTACAACTAACATAGCCCATTGCTCTGACGTTACATTCTGGGACAGTGGGATTTTAAACCCAGACAGCAGGAAGCATGCCCTCTTCCTTTGGTCCTTTAGCATGGAAAGGATAGACCCCAACAGTCCATCTCGCCATCATATTCCATGAGGTAGAAGATCCGGAGCTCGGGTCAGATTTGCTGGTGAAGTGGCTGCATCCCACCATTTTTACGTCAAGAATCATTGAGCTAAAACTCATCACCTGCTGCTTGTACCTGCCACCTGTCTGCTATAATGGATCTCCACCTAATGATGACTGAATGGAACATTGTGAGAGATTTTGAGACTTAGTCATCAGCCAGACACAAAAAAGAGCTAACAGATTTATTCACAGAATAGGTTCAAACACCCTGGGGACAGATCAGTAGTAGAAACAAACCTTTGGAATGCAGAGAAGGAGATAGTGGCTGCAATAATTCTATGTCTTAATGTGACCAAAAGGAGAAAGCCCCTAACCTTTTAAGGAAAGGAATAAGGGATTGCAGGTTCCAGGAATCCTCCAAGCATGTGATAGAAGGGACAGTGATGTCATAGGTGGCTTGAGCTTTCACAGACTCACAAGGACTAGGCTGATTTTGGAGCTTGAGGGGTAGAACCAGTCTGATCCATGACAGCAGAGACAGGCAGGAGCAAACCAATGTTTGAAGTCCAAGGACGAGTCCAGTGTCAGAGCCCGGTGGTTAGAGATGCCAAGATTCCCCGGAGAAGAATCAAAAAGCAGGGACAGGGCACAGAAAACTGGTCAGAGATCCAAAAAACTCACAATGACAGGTCCAATAGGGTTCAGGGAAGCTTAGAAAATCAGGAGCCAGAAATAGGTCAGAATCAGGCAGGCAGACACGAGTAACGCTGGTCATTTACCTGGAAAGAAGCTTTCAACAATCTAGCACAGTCAACTAGTCAGGAAGTAGCTTATATAGGTTAGTAACAGGTGGAGGGATTAAGTGCAATGATCAAAAATTTACATGAAAGACAACCATTTGTGAAAAGAAAGTTATCTTGCTAACAACATTGTACAGTTTACTTACTTCTTCTAATATATGCTTACAAATTGTAGAAGGAGCAGCTGGTCACATATCTTTTTTTTTGGTCTACAGAAAGTGCTCAATAGTCCACCTAGTAGTGCAACTTGGCTTATTGCTACTTGAATACATCCAGCATCCTGAGATAGGTGAAATGTCTGGATAACATGATGTAAAAATTATGAGGTTTGATTATACTAGTAAAATGCATTTTTTATTATGTCTTTAGTCTATGTGGGTTTAGTGTTGATTTGTTTTTAACAATATAAAATAATACATGTCTACCTGCATTTTTGTAGTAATTAGTTAATAGGTGCCGAAATCAAGATTTCAATGTTAAAAAAATAGTACATATTCAGACTACTACACAACATATTTTGACGACAATCCTCCCTCAATAATTCCATAGGCATTTCTTTCTTCGCATTTAAGATAAGCTCCAGCGGTTCCATTAAAATGCAAGAGACATTTCCCTTAACAAATAGTCTATGTTTTATGTTTAACTTTAATTGAATTGTTTTTGACCTTCTTTACATATTGGAAGTGTAGAAGCCAAAACTTAATCTAGATTAGGTACAGTAGGTGTTGATATTAACATCTTAGTACATATTTGGTCAAAAAACAAAGTCATCTACTGAGGTTTTTTGGTCTTGGGATCAGCGGTAACTATTTAAAACAAGTTTTAAAAGGTGTTAGAGTTCAAAAGAACCACTTAATGTAATGTAAAACACCTAATGAGAATCTGAGAATTTTAGGGGAAAAAGTGTTTTCAGTTTTCTGTTGAAACTAGTGTTACATCCTGCGGTTACATGGTCTCTCAAAATGTGTAGTTTCACCCATTTTAAAAACAGCGCACCACACCTCGAAAACTGACCTCAAGAAAGCCCCAGCAAGACAGGAAATCAAGGTATAAAATGTGCTATTGTAAGGCTGCATGAGACAGTGGGACATATTACATCCACCCACAAACGAAATATAACACCATCAAGATGATACATATATGGATTGTTCTGATTTTTCTCCATCAAGGATGTAAGTATTTTTTCATTTCTCTGTTCATTTTTTTTTTTTTTTTGACAGTTTGATTTTTAAAGTATGGCGTTTTTAAGGCAATGTACCATCTATCAGGCAGTCTATAAATATTAATCCTAATTACATGTGCACGGGTATATTTAAGTTGAATGCCATAGGTATCCTTCATTTATAACAATTTTTGATACTTTTAATACTTTCAGACTCAGTGATTTCCGTAATCAAAGGAGAATTGGGTGAACCTGTCAACTTAACTTGCTTGTTCTATGATTCGGACTACAGCAGCACCCGAGTCATGTGGTACAAACAGAGTCTTGGAGACAGTCTTAAATTAATAACAAAACAGTTAAAGGCTACCCTTAATCCTGGTTTGGAGCAAGGGTTTCCTTCCTCACGATTTGCTTTAAGCTTAACGCAGAACAAGAGCACATTGACCATTCTGAAAACTATTAAAGAGGATGAAGCAGTATATCATTGTGCAGTCATGACCTGGAGAACAGATGAGTGGACTGGAACCTATTTGTCTTTAAGAGGTAATGAACTTTTTCAAAGAATTTATATGTCAGAACATGATAATTTCTCCTTTGATTTTTTATCTTATTTTCTCTCTTGCATTTAATAGACAGCAATACAAGAGCAATAAACCACACTATTGTTCAGCAGCCAGATATATCTGATCCAGTGCACCCTGGGGACTCTGTTACCCTCCAGTGTTCAGTCTTCTCTCGTTACCAGATGGGGACCTGTCCAGGTGACCAAACAGTGCTGTGGTTTGGAGTCAAAAAAGACACATTCCTTGAAAGCATCATCTACACAGATACAAACACTCCTTACAAGTGTGACAGGCAGCCTGACATATCATCCCATTCAAAACGCTGTGTGTATCACTTCTCAAAGAAGGTCAGCTTCTCTGATAGTGGGATGTACTACTGTGCACTGGCCCTCTGTGGGGAGATTATATTTGGAAACGGAACCCAAATTCAAAGTACAGTTGAAGGTAAGTGTTTCCACTTCAAAAAGGGCTAAAAGACTAACTGGATTTTTCAGTTGCCTCTTAAGACATTTCAAGACACACAGGAATCTTTTTCAATTATGTTGGCTAGAATATAAAAAAAACTGAAACAAATTTCAATTGACTAAAATTTTGGATTTTTGAATGACAACAGAAGCAAGTAGGCAATTAGCTAACCGGTGTAATGGTGTAAAATATTTTTGATGGGCAATTTGGAATTTAAATGAATCCAGATACATACTGGAATACCTGGAAAATATTGATATATAATAATATGATTCCAAGCGAAAACATTGTTTCTGATTAGAAATGAGAAAAGCACCTCTTGGAAGATAATCGACCAACGCATTTTTTGAACCTTGATTTATTTACATGTCATTAAATAAAGAAATGTCAAATATATGATGTTTTATAATGATTGCTTATGTTTGAGTTCCAAGTCTTTTAGATCTGAAGACTTCCTTTCAATTGTTCTAATATTCAGCTCCTCGTTCTCTGTCAGATTCCAGTCTCTTCTGGGTTAATTACTAAAAATTATTATTATATCATTTGGTTAGCATAAATATGTTGGTAAAACATCAAGATTACTCTAAACGTTTCTGAAGTGTGAATATATTTGGGTCTAACTTTATTTTCTATTTCTGTTTTACTTGATGTCTTTATGTCTTTGTTTTTTTAAGATTCACAAGGCAGCAGATGGAAAGATTATGAGAGGCCTCTGATGTTTACTCTTCTGGCTATATGTGTTTTTGCGTTTGTTATGACGACCTTCTGGACAAAAGGAGATTTTTACACAGGTAATGCAATATATTTTACAACATATATTGTCATAAATTGTACAGATTTTGTTGTCAGAAAGCGTTGGTATCTTGTAATAAAATATTAATTTTGTATGTGGATTTTCCTCTTCCATTTTGCAGCTAATAATTCTCTACATGGAAACAGTAAAAAACACAATTTACAGGTAAAATTTTCAAAAAGCATTGCTATTTACTGACATGCTCAGATTCAGCTTCCCAATAACTCTCTGATATGTCTCTATCTTTACAGCCATGTTATTGATATTATTACATGATCATTTGATTAACCAATGTTTGTGTCTCCAGTAGTTTTTTGTTTTAATGTCTGTCTGTTTTGAACCTCTTTGACAATGATTGGTTGTATAGAAATGTTCTGTTAACAACGGATAATTAATTTACTTCATTGAAAGTGTCACTGATATTCAATAGTTTTTTTAAAATTTGTTCAGGAAGAAGAGGATAGACGGATTTACTCTACAGCTGTCTTTACTGTGATAAAAAATATAAGTGGAAGAGATGCGGAAGCAGCAAAGAGGGAGAAGATTTATGTTTCTCTCAAACCTATTGGAGAGAAATAAAGAGTCAATCCTGGGAATTTTTTATATCACCATGAAGCATGTAACTGCAGCAAGAGGCCTTATACAACACCATGAGGTTTTATGCTTTTACTTCTAGAAGTGACTGTTTTTGGACAAGACTGCAAAACTATAAAGGGAACTCTGTCCCTCGTGGACATCAGGGCCAATAACATTCAGTGCTGTGCAAGGTCTATGGCTCTGAGTAATGCATTTTTATTTTCTGTGTTAGCACACTTCTACTCTTATCACAATACAGATCAGTAAAATACAGCAGTGGCAGCTTTTGTAATCAATGTAGTCTTAAACAGAGCTCTTTTAAAAGCCAGCATTTAAAAGAGCTCAGTTAATTTTTCCAGTGTTAAACAGTTCAAGGTTGTTCAACTAGAAAAACAAAAGTTTACCTACTACCTTTAAAATGTAAGTAAAATCAACTAGAAATGCATCTTTCTCTCTTCTCAGGTTCCGATAGTTGATAGCTGATAGTTGTGGGACTGCTAACTTCAAAGCCATAATTAAATCGACCATTTGGGATATGACAAAATTATACAGCAGGAAACAATACATAAACTACATACTCAAATAAACTTAAATGCTTAAAGTTGAAAATCAACAAATTAACAGATTCCTTCAAAGACTGGGAGTCAGTAGAGAGGATGAAATTGGGCTGTAACATTTCGCAATGAACAATTGTGAAAGTAATAACTGAGCAAAGTTGTATAAACCTATCTAACTGACTTCCTGCTACTCTGAGAAATGAAATGCTGAGGTAGGCAACTTCTGCACTTAGTCGTTTATAAAAGGTGTTAAAATGAAATATGAAGTATTCATGTCTCTTTTTCCATTTTGTCAATCATCTCTAAAATTGTGTTTATTCTAACATTTACAGATTGCATTTCAATAAACATTTGAACAGATATTTACAATGTGTGAACATCTTTGACATATATTTTATCTGGTACACAACAAAACATTTTTAAAAAGTGTTACCAATTCATTTCTCATTTTTTGTTGGGTAGAGTATGTGAAGCCACAGGATCTGCAGAGGGCAGTATAACACCCTCAAACACATCAAGTTCATTTTCCAGCTTTTTTTTATATATAGGATATAAAGACAAGTAATTTATGATTTTGATTAGATCTATTTTATTTGATACAAGAAACCCAATAATATTGGGAAACAATTACATTTAAAATGTGTTTTATTTAGTGCATGATTAGCAGGATGCGCTTTGACAAAAAGATTTTTTTTTTAAACACATCAAAGTGGCAACTGAACAGATACACACACAATACACAAAGGATTATTTTATATATAAAACAGTTACTCGCACACATTTACATGTAAAATATTATTATGAAAAAAAAAAGATACTGCTCAAAATGATATCCCACACAATGCTGGGGATGGATATCTGCCCCCTCATGACCCTGCAAGGACAGGTGGGCACAGAAGATGGATGGATGGATGGATGGATGGATGGATGGATGGATGGATGGATGGATGGACGCATGCCCTGTCACTTCATAGTGCAATATAAAGCAACTCATCCAAAAGTATGCCAGCATATACTTTGTGTAAATGCATCAGTTTTGATGCTAAATCTTTATTGTAAACATACTTTTTCTTTACCACCATCAAATCCTTTAAGAAATGTTTGCCTTAAATTAGATAATCCTTAGAACAGCAACACCTTTTACAACATAAATTTATTGTCGGTCATGGAAACATGGTGTTTCAGTTTTACACAAACAGGTTCTCTTCTAAGACACTCCCTGTCGTGTGGGCTGACCTGTTCTTACAGCTGAATACAGGCACTCTGGTTGTGTTTCCATTCTTCTCTTCTTGCCTTTTGTCTTAATTGCGGAGAAATTTAGAGCTACATAACTCGCTTCATCTGCATCTTCACCCTGCAAATGATAATTATTTTGCATTATTTATTATCATCAGACAAATTTGGGTCCGGTCATTTTATGCCATATCCCATATTCATATACTTTACTTTGGTAAAGCCATTTCCTCCGTTTGCTACTGCAAACAAAACCATTTCACATTTATGTGGGCAACTTATAGAGCAAAATATAATTTTTTGAGACTATAAGTTCTATTTATTTATGTTTATAAAATATAAAAGTGCTGCTACATGACTTGCAATTTCATGATTTTTTTTTTGCTCTGTGATTAAATACATTTTTATTCTGGCACCTGTTAAAACAGGTGCAAACATCCAGACACTCTCTATACCTAGGATGTCAGGAACAATATGAATATAACTTATTGGTATAAGAACTGAAAGTTACAAATAAAAAGTGCTGTGCACTTTAAATAATCAATACATTTCCATTAAAGCAGTCTATCATAGATTCATGAAAATGAATCAGTATTGATCAGAAATGCGAATATTAGTCCTGCTATACAAAATTATTCTACCATGTATTAGATGGAAAATGATAAACCATAAAACGTAAAACCATGTGGTAATCCACATGAAGTCAAATGTATTTAAAAACCTTAATATTTTAATATTAAGCCTTAATTCTCTCAGTTAAGGATGATTAGGATGATTATTTTCTCCGATATTTAGTGGTAAGTGGTAATCAGAGACTTACTGGGTCTCTTGTCTGGTTCACTGATGACTCTTTTTGTCCAGATCGGCCTTTGTTTTTCCCTGTAAACAAAAAAATTAGGCTGTCACAACAACAAGCTAAAATGAAAGCTAAAATACCCCAAATATGTGCAAACTCATCATTTCATAAATAAGCTGGTCTATTGGAATTTATTACAAAAGTGACATACACCATTAACAAAAACAAAACAGTCATTTTTGCAATCTTAACATATTTCTTTCCTTATGTAAATGTAGTACAAAACAAAAGTAAAATTGCTCAAATACCTGCAACCTTTAAAATGTTGTTCTATATTATAATGTGAAAGAGAAGATAAATTTATGTATAATCGGAACAAACATATACACTCACAAACTCCTGCATACATTGTTAGGATTATTTTTATTGAAACTTTCTATATACTGTCTGTCTTTCCATCCGTCCATCCTTATAGATAGATGCATTGTTGCATCTATGCATTATATTAACCGAACTCAACTAACTAGTAAAAAAAAAACCCCAAAAAACTACAGACTGCTGTATGTCACAGTCAGTAAAGATTTATAATAGTGTCTGTAAAAAAATAAAATAGCCTGGAATATATAATTTTTTATCATGTACCTTAATCTTTTGAATAGTTTTAATTACAGCAAACCTACCTTTGAAATTTACAAAAACTGTGCAGTTGATGTAGACAATAAGAGCAACAATTGCAGTCACACAACAAGTCAACAGCACAGCCAGTGCAAGGACAACAGGACCGACTTGTGACTCTGAAAGCATAAAGATGTCAAATAAGAAAAGTTTGCTGTTCTTTTTATTGAAATTAATTATTGTGATTTATAGCAAATGTTTTCTAGATCAAGTGTTGAAAAATGTTTAGAGAAATGTTACATTTAAGCATTTTAAATAAAACAGGCAAGGTGTGAATTAATGAACTGCTAAATAGTAAACATTGAATTAGTTTATTAGTTAAGTAGTATTTTTTAGTTTTTTAGTTAAAACTAAATAAAACGTTTCAATATAGCTAAACAGTAGTAGCGCGGGCAGGGATATCACTTTAAGCAGAGTTTTACACTAAAAGAAACATTTCCACATAATCTTTGTGGATCTATAAATTTAACCCAAAAATGTTTCCTATTTTATGTATTTTTTCCAAAGAAATACATTTTTCTCAAAATTTGCTGTTTATTAACCAAATGTATGAATTTTCTACACCTTTAGGGAAAAAATTAACTATATATTATTCATTATACATACTTTTTTGTACTTTAGTTCCTTCTCCAAACAGGATCTTCTCACATGTGATCACAGCGCAGTAGTATATCCCAGTATCTGAGGAGTTCTGTATAGTTTTGGACAGTTTGTAGACACAGCTCCTTTGCTGAACATCACTGCTGTTCTTGGGAGTGTAAATTAAGCTTGGGTAGGATTCTCCTGATCCAGCTTTGAACCAGTAAACACTGTAGTTAGATGGACATTGCAATGAGTTTATAGAAGTCTTGGTAAGAAGAGAACAGTGTAGATTAACTGTGTCACCCTCCTGGACTGATGTTGACTCTGGAGTTTGTTTGACAAGAATCTGTGTTTTGCTTTTACAATCTGGGGGGCATTAAGAATAAACAAATTAATAAAAAACTGTTTCAGGAAAAACCTGTCTGACCTAAAATGATCTGTTTGTATTATAGGAGAACTCACCGTTTACGGCCAAATACATCCCTGTCGAAAAAGTCTGAAAATAGGCAGTCCCATTTTGACATAAATAAGTCGCTTCATCCTCTTTAGTGATATTTCTGATAGTAAGAGAAAACTGAGAATCCCCCTTTGTTAATTTAAAGCGACTGTTGTTAAATTGTTCACTTAGTTTGGGATGTGATAAAGCTGCTGTAGCAACTGTCTGGAGCATATATCCAGGTGTCTGCTTGTACCAGTAGAAGAATTTGCCTTCTTTTGTTGAAACTGGACAGTGAAGAGTAACATTCTCACCAACTTCAACCACTTTCAAAGGGACCTGATGAGGGACCTCATTAGCTTGAGTTAAAGCTGAAAAAGTTATGAAATAGTAAAAAAAATGTTCAACGATAGCCAGCACATATCTTGACAATAATAAACTGAACGTGTACACTCTTCTATATATAGTGTAAACTATGTCTGAGCTCATTGAATTAAAGTCATACTTACCAAATATAGTGAAAAGAACCAGAGCAAATAGTCCTTCGTTCATCGTGGTTAAAACAATAGTCTAACAGCACAAATTTCTTCCTCATTCATACAGGAAAGTTTGGTCACAGGGTCTTCAATGTGTTCAAAGTGTAAATTGTTGTGATTGGCTGAAACGAAAGGTGCACTCCCTCAAAAAAATAAGCCAATCTATGATTGAATTTGCTATCAAGTAAGCGTAAAAATCCTATGGAATTTTCATGAACTTTGAGAGAAACCAATATAATCTAAATAATACTATACAAAATATTTACAAATTTGACACCAGGTTCCTATCTCTTTCTTCCATATGTAACTTTAGTAACTCTTTTATTGGTAGCTTTAAACACTGAACTAAACAGGGTCATCTCACTCTCACATCCAAAAATTTAAAAGGTTTTTCTTACAGTTGTTGTTTTGGCAAAAAACAAACATCACATCAATTATGTCAACCCTGCTGACCAACCAGGATGAGAGTAAGTTCCTCCTAAAGTGTATGATTCTAGTCTACTGCTCTTATTATAAGTTATTACAATATCCTATTGCCATAATGGTAAAACTGGCAGGAAAATCTTAAACTTTTTTGGATTTCTATTTGACAGGCCAGAAGTATCTCATAACCAAAAAATACCAAAAAGACGTCCTACAACAGAATGTCTATACTGATGATATAGAGCTTTATATTTTCATATCAACCCTTTACTACAGTCACTAAATCAGTGTATCCAATCACTGACAAGTGCATGCATTGATGAAATTGGGGGTTGTAGCGGCCTAGTGGTTAGGGCATAGATCTTGGAATCCTTAGGTTCTGAGTTCAAGCCCCACTCCCACAGAGTGCCACTCTGGCTCTCTGAGCAACGATGGCACCAACGATGGCAGCCCACTGCTATCGCAATTAACCCATCCCTAAGGTGACATCCATCCCTAGGGGGATGGATCAATTGCAGAAATACATTTCTCAAATGTGAGATCAATAAAGTTCAATTAATCAATTAAAAATGTTTTTTTTTTACTGAATGCATTAAAGACAGATGTTATCTGAAGGGGTTTTTTGTCCCCCAAATGTACAAGGCTAGAAAACAGAGCAAGAGATGTCCAAAAATGTGACTTATTTGTATAACTATTTACTGTAGCTCATACATTCATATAAAAAATGTATCTTTTCTATCATGCCATTATTTCTATTTGCTTAAATTATGAATTTTAATGTTTCTTCCTGTTATGTGATTATATCTAATATTTTACAGTTTATGTGATGCAATATTTTATGTGTCTTGCTTTATCTCTCTATTATTTCCTTAAAGCACTTTACGTATATGCACCTCATAAACAAATGAACTTTAACTGCTTTACCTGAAAAAGGATGACTACCTATTTCAACTCCAGGTCTTAAAGCTATTTGTGAGGAGTCAATAGATGAATTAGGACTTTCTTTGCAGTAACATATGGTGAAAATTCCAGATGCTTAGAGCATCTTCTTCGTGCCTTGAAAAATCTCCAAAGGAGGGTCCTTTGGAGATTGCTGCAGGCATGACCCACCCCAGGGCAGACCCAGATCCCTCTGGAAAAGCAATTGCTCTTTTCTGAGATTAAAGCATCTTTGAGTCCTCCAAAATAAGCTGAAATTTTGACTAAAGAAAGAGAGATCTGAATGTCATTATCAGTGGATCTCTGGTTTAGTAGAATCGACAATGGAAAATTCTACATAAATGCAGAAAAAAAGACTTACTTGATATATAAACTGATGGAAGAATGCACCTATCAGATCATATGCCACAGAGGAAATTTGGTGGACAAATAATTTTAAAACAATCCCTCGGTTTAAAACTTTGGTTAAGTCAAGTGTTCGTGTTACTGTATTTATGTGTTGAATTTGTGTTATATAAATGTTTCGCTTTTTTTATTATGACAGAAAATCTTTTGACTTGTAGAATTGTTGCTCAATACTTCCTGTCACATTAAGGTGCTATGCATATTCAATTCCATTATTTAAGTCTGTTTTTTGTTAGCTTTTTTTCTCTCTGGTACATCTTTGCGCATTCTGTCAATTCGTAGTTACATCTGTATTAACCATAGCTCATACTGCCTCTATTTTAGCTTGTTATGATAAACATACTTTTTTTTTATTCATGGGTAGAGAAACATTTATCATGTGTAAAGCAATTTACCAAATTGGAAGTTTAAATGTGGCTGCAATTGTTGTGTTTTTTGTTTTGTTTTTGCTCCTCTGGAAATCAGGTGAGAACTGAAAATGTTTGAGGTCCTTTTGGCCAAAAAGGAGATATTGGTATGATTCAATTTGGATGCATTCATTGCTCTCTGGGAGGCAAGATTAGTCACTCTGTCATTCTTCTCCTCTGGACTCTGCCACTAGGATGTGCCACCACTCTTTCATCTTCACTTCCCATTTTGACTGCTGAGCAGCGTGCTGTTCAGGCTATCTCTGTCTGAATAAAGTTTTTTTTTCTGTGATATCTCTGTATCTAAGTAACTCTAACTGTCCAGAACCACTTAAAAACATAGTGCCTTCTGCTGCACTTCTTTACTGAGCACTTATCGCTTTCACGCAGATTTATTTCTGGTAGTAAGCAGTAGCTAGCCTAGGCTAGCGCTAGTTTAACATAGCTAAGGCTTCTCTCTCTCCCTCCCTTGACTCTTTTCCAACTCTTACTTCTTCTCTCTACAGCTCTCTGTGTCAGATGTTATTCCTCTGCCTCCTTTAGTGATAATGGGATGTGTAATAAGTGTAGTATTTCTTTAGCTTTGGAGGCGAGGGTGTCAGAGTTAGAATCCAGGATTCAGGCTGTTGAACATCCAGGAGTTAAAGTAGGACCCCCACATAGTTTTCCTCCAAAAGTCCCAGAGCAGCCAGGCGAATGGGTAACAGTACGCAGAAAGCGTAGTCGTGGATCTCTGCCCACTGGTCACCACCAAGCCATCCACGTTTCTTACAGATTCTCCACACTCAGTGACGGACCCACCGAAAAGCCCACTCTGGAAATTGGCAGCTTCATAGTCAGAAACGTGGCATTAGAGACACCAGGGACCATAGTCCAAAATTTGCTAGGGGCCGGAACAGGCAACATCAAATCCTACCTGAAACTGCTGTCTAAGGATAAGGTTAAATACAGTAAGATTGTTACTCACACTGGCACCGATTGGAGGTAAATAAAATTAGTGTTGCTTTGGTGTGTAAGTTTGCCCAAAAAAAAAGTCTGGTCCCCTCCCTGATCTGACCAGTGATTACATGTTTGGCCGCATGCTGTTATTTAACCACTGGTTGTCTAGGTGCCGTCCTGAAAATGAGGTGGGCTACATTAATAATTGGCAATCCTTTTGGGCAACGCCTAGTCTGATTCAGAGAGACGGCATCCATCCCACTTTGGATGGTGCAGCTCTTCTTTCCAGGAATCTGGCAAAATGTATTAGTCCTCCAAAACCCTGACTGCCCAGGGTGCAGACCAGGAAGCAGAGTTGTAGTTTAACACACATCTCTGCAGCTTCTCTACTTTTACCCACTCTTTACTCCATCCAGACAGTGTCTTGCCCACGACCAAAATCTAATAAATTAGCAAAGATTCCCAAAGGGGTAAATCATGATAATCTAATTAAAATTATAGAAACCCCAGGTGGGGAAAAAGTTAAAACAATTAAATGTGTATTATTTAACGTAAGATATCTTTCCTTAAAAAAAAGGTCTGTTAGTTAATGACTTGATTTGTGATAACCACATTGATTTATATTGCCTTACAGAAACTTTGCTGCAGCAAGAGGATTATGTAAGCATAAATGAGGCAAATCCTTCTAGTTATTTAAATTTTCACATACCCAAAAATTCTGTGCGAGGAGGCTTAGCAACAATCTTTCGGTCTGACTTACTGATTACCATAAAGGAAGTTAATAATTACAACTCTTTTGAACATTTAATCCTTAGTTTCCCTCATCCAAGTTAAAAAGCAAGAAAACCTGTTCTTTTTGTAACTTTGTATTATCAACCAGGTCCTTACTCTGAATTTTTAGATGAGTTTTCAGAGTTCCTATCTGATTTGGTGTTAAATACTGATAGGGTCATCATAGTGGGGGATTTTAACACCCATACTGACATTGAAGGTGATAGCTTAAGTGCAGCCTTTAATGCTATCTTATTGGCTGTGTTCAAAATGTGAATAGTCACATTCTTATCTTCATACTTTGGAACTTGAGTTGACATATGGCATTGTTTTGATTTTATGTTCTTTTCAATTCCCAGCCAGCTGGGAATTTATATTTCTGATACTTTAAGATGTTTATTTCCCTCCCCGGTATGGGTGGTGAAATATCTTCTTTAATCAGATATTATTTCGGCTGTTATATATTGTTTATGACACACAGTCCTACTAACTGTGTGTTAGAACAATAGATGAAAGAGTGATTCAAGCACTAATCATGGTCAAACAGTAAATTCACATACATGGAATAAATTCACCACAATTTCTGTTCAAAATTTAAGAGTTTATTAACAAAAATCATTCAGCTCCAAGTCAAACATATTCCAGTTCAACACTCTCAACTAAGACTAGTAAAACTCGACTAAACTAAACTACTATGTACAAAGAGGAAGGGAAGCATGGTTAAAAACCATATTAGAGTTTAACATGGATCTTGTGTTTGAAACCAAAGTTTATCTGGAAGAATTTGGGATATGATCAAATTAGGTTTTCACTAATTTAAAAGAAATTGGAATGTTTTCAGACCAATGCACAATGCAAATCCATGAGGTGAATAAAACATTATTTGGCCAAATAATGTTTTAGTGAATGATTTGCTTAATCAAGAAGCAAAAACCTTTAGTCAAATGGGAGAGATAGTAGCTGATTAAAAAAGAGGTATGTGTTCATGCGAGATGCAAGGATACCTAACATTAAAAATGGCTCACTGTGACTGCCCGCCACACTGCTGATTGTTTGGAAGAGACTACTTGTTGAGATCTGTGGGTCTGTAATTCTGCCTGTGTCTTTTTCTGTCAGTGTCTGCGCCTGAGTTGTTTGTACACAGTGTTTACTTTTCTTTTTTGTAGTTATAACAGCAACTTCCTGTTGCCCATGCTCTTACAAATGCCAATGACTTGTGACTTCTTGTGCTCTTTGTCATCCAGCTGGTGAGTGATCCACTACCTTTCGCAGCCTCATACAGCTCCTTTTGTTTTAGTCTTAACTTCCTCTCCTCACGAGGCATCTCTGCAAAATGAAAAATGATCCTTAAACTACAGACTGATGCACATAAAACACACAAACACTAATTTTTATTTCATACCTTTTCAAAAAAATTTACTGTATAGCCGCAATTTTATCCATTAATAATTTGCCCTTTATTATTCCTAGTGCTATAAAGTAAAAATCAATTAAATGATATAGAGTAATATATCATTGAAAAAATATTAGTCTAATTGAAAAAAAACTCACTTATTCAAATTTTTTTGTTGCTTTTATTTAGTTTGACTATTGACTCTGGGCATGACATCAAGGGTCTAAAAGTTATATGATTTGCATCTGCGCCCCCTCCAGGTTAGTCGGACCTTTTTGCACCGCTGACAATCGGCTTTAACTTGTGAGAAGTCGGTGTGTGCAAATTTGAACAGCACAGAGGACGCTCATTGCTCATTACCTGGTTAGTCTACTCATCTTGCAACAATACACCATGCACAAACTAACACTGCTGCAGAACTTAGTTACCAGACCAGTTGTTTACTTTTTCTGGAATTGGGAGTCGTAGTGGTTGTCTGAAGCAGCGCTTGGTTATTAGCAGAAGGGCACATCAGTGCAGTGAAGGCAGAGTGAGGGAGGACACCTTGTGTTGATCATGTGACTAGCCACGGTTACCGTGGCACAGTAGGTCTAAATTGTTATTATTTTGTGCATGCACACAAACATACACATAGATACAAGCACACAGTTTAAAAAAAAAATACTGGCAAAAGGGCACTTTGGGCATCAAGGGTGCCCCTTTGTTCTTTAGTCCTTACAGTAGTTCTCTGTAGCTCAGAGAAAATACTTTAAAATTCTTCTGTTAGTCTATAAACCACTGAATGGATGAGAACCTCAATATATGACAGATTTGTTGTCAGTGTATCATTCTCCCAGACCTCCCAAGTCTTCCAGTTCAAGCCTACCCTGTACTACCCTGAAATAAAAAGGGAGAAGCAGCATTTTGTTCCTATGCATCACTGATCTGGAGCAAACTTTCACAAGACTATAAAAGTGCTGTAAACCTGAGTTCTTAAAAGTCAAAGTTAAAAACCCTCTGGCAGGAGGCAGCGGTCCATCAGGACCAAAACCTGACACTAAAAGAACATTTTTCCCCCCCATCCGTTACCAGCCTTATCAGCAAGGCCTCAACAATAATTTCTGTTATAGGGAGATTATTGTTTTAATTAAATAATTTTTTTATAATGAAATATATGTAAGTAATAATTTGCTAAGATTTTCACTTGCATTCAGTTATTTCTAAATTTCATCAACACGGTAAGTATTTATGTAATGTTTATTCAAGTAGATATTTATTTCACAATTTATTAATCTATTTATTTGGAACATGTTGGTATTTTATAGGTTAGAACCACTGTTACTATTGCAAATTCACACACTGACAAGCTGGAACTGCTGCATTAGTATTTTCCCCTGATTTTAACAGCTTAAATTGTCCCAAAACAGAAGCACTAGTTACTAAAATACAATCATAAAATACAAGAACCAGGAGCAAATAATGAGCTCATAAGTAATATTAGACAAATATTCTCAAAGTAGAATAAATGTTACATGCAAAACAGGCAACTAAATACGAAATTGTACTTTATTGAGATTGCAGACATAAAAAATAGATGCTGAACATGCTTGCATAGCAGCAGAAAGAACAAAAAAAATAAAGATATTTTTAAGTAGACCATGTTCTCTGTCTCCTTTGCAAGCAAAATCACCAATGAACACAGAGACGTCTCACACAAGACATATTTGGATTATTTTGTCTCCTCTTGGCAATTCCACTGAAATAGTTATTGGTAATAACTGTTAGATAATGTTTTTCTTCTTTTGTCTTCCAGTGTGAGGAAACTCAGTTGCACGGCTAGCAGGTCTTATCTGTCAAACAATTGTAAAAACATATATCAGAACCAAAACCCAGATTTAAGTATATTTCATGGCTTTTTAGTGTCAAAACATAAACAGAAAAATTTTATGCTTATTATTTAGTAATCAAAAAGGTCATAATAAGTGACACTGAAAGTATTCTGTAATAAGATAAATATAATTTATACTCTTAGTTTAGTATCCAAGAAGCCGATGCTTAGCAATGTTCTACAAGCAGAAATGTAAGGTTTTGAAATAAACTCTAAAAATGTAGAAACAAAAGAATAAGGTTACCTTTAAATTCTTGAAAACAAAAGAACAGCAATCAGGATCACACATAGACCCAACATCACGCTCAAGCCAATTATCAGAAGATCTGTAGGTTCTCCTGATAACAGAGAAAGAGATAAAAAGTGAATAATTTATTCATATAAGATGCCATCAGTCTTGTTTCCATTTAGGGATTTTTGATTTGAAAAATAATACAAAATTTAATGAGGAGCTGTTGATATAAAGTATTTAGTGTTTATTTTTATTTTCCCGACTGAAGTGTTTAGGTGAAATTGTTAATTCACAAACAAAAAAAGATACGTTTAACAGAGAGCATACTTAAGGAAACATAGTCTTGAATAGAATTAGCATAATTTTTAAAAGAAGCCAAAACTAGGCTATCCTAATGTTCGTAATCTCATTAGTTTGTTGGCAGTCTTGTTTCACTGATTAAACTAAAACTGTATTTTTTTTTTACTGTTTTTAATAACACATAATTCATTATACATACTTGTTTGTACATTAGTTCCTTCTCCAAACAGGATTTTACCACATGTGATCACAGCGCAGTAGTGTATCCCAGTATCTGAGGAGCTCTGTATAGTTTTAGACAGTTTGTAGACACAGCTCCTTTGCTGAACATCACTGCTGTTCTTGGGAGTGTAAATTAAGCTTGGGTAGGATTCTCCTGATCCAGCTTTGAACCAGTAAACATTGTATTTAGATGGACATTGCAATGAGTTTACAGAAGTCTTGGTAAGAAGAGAACAATGTAGATTAACTGTGTCACCCTCCTGGACTGATGTTGACTCTGGAGTTTGTTTGACAAGAATCTGTGTTTTTCTTTTACAATCTGGGGGGCATTAAGAATAAACAAATTAATAAAAACTGTTTCAGGAAAAACCTGTCTGACCTAAAATGATCTGTTTGCATTATAGGAGAACTCACCGTTTACGGCCAAATACATCCCTGTCGAAAAAGTCTGAAAATAAGCGGTCCCATTTTGACATAAATAAGTCGCTTCATCCTTTTTACTGATATTTCTGATAGTAAGAGAAAACTGAGAATCCCCCTTTGTTAATGAAAAGCGACTGTTGTCAAATTGCTCACTTAGTTTAGGATCTGATAAAGCTGCTGCAGCAACTGTCTGGAGCATATATCCAGGTGTCTGCTTGTACCAGTAGAAGAATTTGCCTTCCTTTGTCGAAACTGGACAATGAAGAGTAACATTTTCGCCAACTTCAACCACTTTCAAAGGGACCTGATGAGGGACCTCATTAGCTTGAGTTAAATCTGAAACAGGTAGAACACTAAATATAAGTAAAGCATTAACTACATGTCCTAATACCCAAAACATGGAAATCCTTTCATATGTTAATTATTCTATTCAATAATATATACTTACATGTTGTAGTAAGAAGAAACAAAGCAAACAGTCTTCTAAACATTGTGGCAAAATGTATTTGTCTTGCAGAGCTGACACCCTCCAAGCCAAGTGACGGTTCACTCACAAAAACCTTCAAAGTCTATAAGGGGAAAATTGTCCTGATTGGTTGAACAGTGTAAAGTGCACTTCCTCTGAACACTCTCTAATAGATGTTAAAAATTTGTTGCAGCCTACATTAGTGGTCAAAATTCTCTTTAACATTTAGTTTTACAAGGCCTTTCCTAGAACACGATTTGGTTGTGTTGTTGAAGAGCTGTAGTGGAAGAAAATGTTTTTATATACAGGATTAATTGTTATACGTGTTCATTTTATGACATATGTTCCTCTATCAAATTAAAAAAAGGGTGAATATATTTATCCAAATACTACACAGGATATTATAAATGATTACTTTCAACATGTGTTAGTGTTCAGATAGCTGGAATTCGATCAAAATTTGTAATATTTGAGTCTTAGGCTTGGGCAGAATTAAAAGCACAAGATTTTTATCTGCTTAGCTTTTTGCCAGATTTTTTTTTTTTTGGGGGGGATTGATTTGATAGGCTTTTTCCTCCAATTTGTATGGTTGGACTACGTGATTTAAGCACAGTAATCACTGAAATGAGGCCAGATATATTTTTATGTTTATTAGGAAAAAAAGAAGATGCACAAATATCTGAATTTTATATTTGTACATTGAGTAAAATTACTTGTTGATTTTTCGGTTCAAATCTGAGAGTGATTGCAAATTCCTCAGCCATCAAATAGTTTTATGCTCGGTGAATGGAGCTGAGTGGGCAGTGAAGGAAGAACATGTTTGTTTGCTGGTTGTTTCTTGTTTATCATTCTAACTTCTACTGGGTCGTTGGTGTGATAGATTAACTGGTGACAGGATCTACTGGTGGCAGCAGCGGGAAAACTGCTGATTTTTGCAGGGGTACGTTTTATGACAAACACCTTTTATGACAAACAAATTCAGAATCAAATCTGCAACTCTAAATTGATCTAGCCTAAAGTCAGGAACTCTGAGTGCTTGGTTTTACAACGGTTGCTGTCAATTAGTTCAATCAATTTTAAGTATGTCCACTCAGAGTTAAACGCGTACGCAACAAGTATGAAAAGCCATTATCAGTGGAGCACCGATTTGATGAGTCACCATGACAACAGGCAACAGGAAGTGCCTTTTTCACCCCACTGGAAGAAGAGATTTTAATTCAGAAATGCATAAAAATAAAGTAAAAAAGGAGAATGTTTTTTAAAGACAGAGAAACAGCGCTATAGATACAAAGGAGAGGAAGATGGCGAAGGGGGAGAATGTTACTACGGTGACTGAAACAGCTTTATTAAACGGACCCTATATGTCTCTATGGGTGTGGCTTTTCAGGATCCCCGTTTCCCAAACAGGAAATAAACTATGTGTAGACTACAAGAACTACAAATGATTGATGTGATCGATACGAAATACATTAAGATCTTTAGAAGTCACCATCACAAAGGTATTTAATTGCATTAAAAATGTATATAGCATGTTTTAGTGATTTCTGCAGAACTTTTTCGGCTGTTTTTTTATCTTGTTTCAGAGCCTCAGTGATGAGTGAAAGAGCCGAGTTTAGCGCTCTTTATATCTTTGCAAAATAAACAAATAACTTATGAATAGCTTATGTCCAACTCATTTTAAGAGGAGTTAGAAGTGTCTTTAAAGTTGTGATGCTTTGTTCCAGTGTGTCGCAGGAATAAAGCAAAACAACAATAAAAAAATGCTACAGGGAAGAGTGAAATCTTGATTCGGGATTAAGTCAATATATTGTATGATCATATGTGATATTTTGGGTAGGGTGAATGAACAAATGCAGAACCTGCTGTGCTCAGGTAGAAAAAAAAACAACATAGAGCCTCCAGGCTCACCATTCCCATACCTTCAATGAGTGAAATAGGGAGACTTTATGGTAGATACCTGACAGAAAAAAAATACCAGGTTATCATTTTAACTCTTTACAGCTATGCTGCAGAACCTAATTTCTAATTATTTCTAAACAAGGTGACCCCAATCTTTTGTAAAAGTAAACAAGGAAAACATTTATAGTAATTCCTCATATTCTGGAATGTAAAAGATGATTTAAATGATCAGCAGACTCTACAATGTTAACTATCACCAATTCGTCTAGGTCTATTGTCCAAAACACAGATCAGAAACAGATTAGAGTTTAATTCCCGCAAATGGTGCCAATTGATGAGACAAGAATATTAGCTTTAACAGCTAAAAGCACCACATAATTAAAATGAACTGCTCAAGTTCGTAACCGCAAATTATCCTTTTCCCTGTTCTTATTTAAGTAGATTTTTTAGAGTTGGGTAAGATAATGCTTGTCCTAAACCTGAAATTTCCTCGGTATTAGTGGTTTGTGACGAGGTCGCTTATTTTTCCAGTATTGGCCCATAGTAAAAATTGGTCAAATACTATTTAACTTTAAAAAACATGAATGATTTAAAGTAGCTCAGGATGCAAACGAAAAAATGTGGCGTCCACTGAAAAAACAGAAGGCAATAAGATAAGAATAAGCATAATCCCAACATCCATACAACATCCCAGGTGATGGAGCGTTTTACAGTTCATATTCATGCAGATCCCTGTGGATCACAACTTAATCCGTGAAGACTCTACAGACGCCGACCCCTCCATATGCTGGCAGCTCATTATGCATTTATTTGATCCTTAATTTCTCATATTTCACATTCGCCACAGCCAGACACATGTTGGATAGATATTAGGCAAAAAATCTGAACATTTATTCTTACCCATTTTTTAACTTTTGCAGCATTTTGATCAGGCCGCCACTCAGCCACAATTTACCATTTGGTCCTTCTCTGAATTAGTGTGGGACCAAATGTACACTCAAAGTGTTACTTTAACACTGCAACATTTACTGTGAGTGGTACCTGCTGACTCTGGGATTTAAATTCTACCGTGAATCAATAAAATGTAATCTTTCTGCATCAGCAGGTAGGCTACGTAATAAATGAGAAGTAATTAAAAATAATAAATTTTATAATAAAAAATGAATAAATACATTTTACCCCCTTTGTACATATGGGGTAGTAAAACGAGTTCAGAAACAGCCGTTATGGTCTTATACCTTGAAATGGCATAAAGACTGAACACACCAGAATTGATTCTACTAAGAAAAGATGTTGTACTCGAATTTGTCATAATTTGAAAAATAAAGTGGGAATATTTGGAAGGATGAGAAGCCCAACTGTTGTTTGAAGTCAGTAATATATAGGGATAGTGCCTGTTCTGACCAAAGGCGTTTCCACAGAAACGTGTAGAAATAGTTGCCTTAAAACCAAACTCTCTAACTCATTAAGAGTTTCATCCATGCCCATGAATATTTTGTTGTTCCTTCGCGTAGAACAAAGTTTCTTTTCACGTGCTCTAGTCCATACTCCAGATTGATTTACAGGACACAGACAACTCAAATCTACTCAATTTAACTCAGACTTAGACAAACTTTATTGTTGTTTTATCTACAAAATCAAATTTTGATGAATACAACTTTTCACATGTGAATGAGCAGTTTACAACAGTGAAATGAACATTTCCATTCATAAAGTGCAGCAGTGATCAGAATTTAAACAGTTTAAAGCCGTAATGCCAAAGGGATTGCAGTGCAAATGGATGATTGTGGTGCAAAATGCAGTAGAACATTGAGCTGTGTTCTATTTAAAGGGATAATAAAAAAAAAAATCTGCCATGTTGGTAGTGCAAATATGTTTACAACTTTAATGCAAAGCTTGATTAGAGTTTCAACAGATCATCAGCCTTTATGGCAGCGGGGGAAAAGCTGTTGTAGAACCTTCTGGTCCTGCAGCGAATACTGCAAAGCTTCTTCTCAGAGGGCAGCAGGGAGAACAGTCCTCGGTGGGGGTCTGAGGGGTTGCTGTTAATGTTACCAGCTTGTGACACACAGCACTGGGATGAAATGTCTTTAATAAAGGGAAGAGGATGATCCTCTTTGTAGTCCTTGCCACTCTTCTCATGTTCTTCCAGTCTGAGGTGCTGCAGCCTCCACACCACACAGTGAGACAGCTGGTCAGAATGCCCTCCATGGTGCTTCTGTCAAGGGTCGTGAAGATGGGCCAGGGTAGGTGGGCTCTCTTCAGCCTCTGCAGGAAGTACATGCGCTTCTGTGACTTTTTGATCAGTGAGGTGATGTCCAATGAGTCCAGTCCAGTGATGTGCTCCCCCAGGAATTTATTTTTTGCTGACCACTTCTACAGCTGAGCTGTTGATGAGCAGTGGAGCCTGGTTTTGCCGGTTTTTCCTAACATGGACAATGATCTCCTTCGTCTTCCCCGCATTCAGGACCAAGCTGTTGTCTCTACACCAGCCCACCAGCTGCTCCACCTCTTCTCTTTAGATGCAGTTGTTGTAGTCTCTGATTAGGCCCACCACTGTAGTGTCATCTGCAAGTGTTGTGTGTGATCAGAGTGAACAGCAGGGGGCTCAGGATGCAGCCCTGAGGGGAGCCTGTGCTCAGGGTGATGACATCAGAGGTGTTCTATATCAGAGGTGTTCAACAGACCTTTACACGAGTAATATTGGTTGGCGATGGCACCATGGGTTCTTCCCCACTTGCTGTGTCCACCCAATTCACTGGCATACAATTCAATAAAAGGTTGTTTGCCTAATCTGCTTTGGTTACCACCTTGGCCAGATGTTCTGCTTTATTTATCTTCCACCTGCATATATAATGCAGTTCCCCATCTAAGATGTTCATACTTAAGTTTGAATTGAGAAAGCTTCCTGGAGAGATGGCGAAACGTCTTGAAATCTTGGAAACCAAGTCTAGTGGATATTTTTTCCATTTTTATGGAATACTTAAGTTGAATTAGACAAGTCATTTGCTTGCAAGCAGATTAGGCTTCATGACATTAGGACAATATAATCATCATGTGAAGATGATGGATTTATATTTACTGGCTTATAATTATGAATTTACCTTGCAAAACAAACATAGATGCTCGTCGTCAGATGATGAAACTTCAGGTTCAGGATTTC